AGAACTGCAGCAGCAGCAGCAGGGGCAGCTAGCTCTGCTCCAGACCTTCGTCACTAATATGTTCAAATACAACACCACAGTCAGGAGTCACTGCTGCTGTGATCTTCAACTGTACTTTAGTCAACTCCAAGACAATAATGACGATGGCTAATTATTATTATCATTATCATTATTGTTATCATTATTATCATTATTATCATTATCATTATTATTATTGTTATTATCATTGTTATTATCATCATTATCATTATTATTATTATTATTGTTATTATTATCATTATTATTATTGTTATTATCATCATTATTATTATTGTTATTATCATCATTATTATTATTGTTATTATCATTGTTATTATCATCATTATCATTATTATTATTATTATTGTTATTATTATCATTATCATTATTGTTATCATTATTATCATTATTATTATTATTGCTATCATTATTATCATTATTATTATCATTATTATTATCGTCATTATTATTATTGTTATTATAATTATTATAATTGTTATTATTGTTATCATTATCATTATTATCATTAGTATTATTATTATCATTATTATCATTATTTTTATTGTTATTATTATCATTATCATTATTATCATTGTTATTATTATCATTATTATTATTGCTATCATTATTATCATTATTGTTAGCATTAGCATTAACTTTGATCAAAGTGTGTTCATATTCACTGAAACATGACCAAACTGTGGCTCACGTGTAAACCTTCAGTACAAAGTCCTTCTCCTCCTTCAGGTCAGTGATGGTGTGGAACACGTCACTCATGGCCAGGACCGCACAGCCATAAGGTCGTCGGTACTGCACGTGGGGGGGGCCTTTCTTTGAGTCATTCAGCAGCATCCGACCTGGACGTGGAAGGAACGGATGAAGAAAACCAGATCACGATGTGACTTTACACCAGTGAATACGTTCTGAGCTCAGTGATGCCTCCACAGGTTGTTTCAGTTACTGCAGCCTGGTACTTCACCTGTTCTTATGACGTGGGCGATGATGTACAGGTCTCTCTTCAAGTCTTTACTGCTCAGGTCCTGGAGCAGAAAACAGAAATGTGACGCTGTGATGGTTGTCATGGTGACAACACTGAGCCTGTGTCAAAGGTCAAGACCTCACCGTGAAGAGAGCACACATACGATCCACCTTCTCAGGGTTCTTTGGTCCTCCATTTTTGTTCAGTTTCACCATGAACTTCTCACTGAAGAGGAGACGGAAGATGAAGAACTCAGGAGCAGTAACAGTACTGCAGTAACATCAATCCATCCATTTTCACCCACTTATCCGTTACCAGGTCGCGGGGGCAGCAGTCTCCACCCACATCACACTGCACCGTACCAACCCCCCCTAAACCTTCCTGCGGGACAGTACTACAGTAACAGTACCGCAGTAACAGTACCGCAGTAACAGTACTACAGTAACAGTACTACAGTAACAGTACCGCAGTAACAGTACCTCAGTAACAGTACTGCAGTAACAGTACCTCAGTAACAGTACTGCAGTAACAGTACCAGAGTAACATCCACTACTCGAGCTAGTACTAATGAAACATTTAAAGAGAAAGCATCTATAAACACAGTGGTCCTCAACCTGAGGTGCGTGTACCACTGGTGGTACTCTCCCTAGGGGATCACATTTCCATTAGTGCTTAGTGACTTCATTTCCTAAGTTCTAGAAGCACTCAGATACATCAGGTCCTCAGACTTCATGACCACACCATGAGCCGTCTCCCTCCCCCGTCCTCCCCGTCCTCCCCGTCCTCCCCCGTCCTCCCCCGTCCTCTCCAACCAAACCTGATCTGTTTGGCCTCGCGAAAGTCGTAGAGAGAGAAGAAAACATCAGCATCCTCACTGATGCTGTTGTACGTGAAGCTCTTCAGATTAATGAAAAGGTGATGTGACACAGGGACACGGCAACCGTCGCCATGGCGCTGCCTCACGCTGTCGCCCTGGAAACGGAGAAGAAAAGACCATGAAGGAGAAGGTTCCTGTGAAACCTGCCTCTGTGGATAGATGGGTGGAGCTGTGGTGGTGATGTCAGAGGTCAGAGGTCACTGTATGTACAGCAGCAGCCGTCAGTGAGAACTCCACTAGGTCTAACCTAAAGGAGTTTCAATATCTGGTTCATGTAATGGAGGAAGAACAGTTCCAGTCACTGGAACTGTTGACAAAAGTAAACAAATGAGACCAGGACCAGAGTTCAAACCTTCTAGAAACAGAAGGAACCCTAACCCTTACGGTGCAGTACCGTACACTACCGTACCGTACTGTACCGTACCGTAGTGTACTGTACTGGTACACCTGTACTTCATGTTATCTCTACATCTGGTCTGAAGAAAAGAAACAAAGAAACATCAGAGAGTGAAGACAACATGAATGTGTGTGTGAAGGACCAGTGTTGAACCCATGGTCCAGTCTGTACCTGGTTTGTGCTTTGTTGACCACAGTGTCTGCTGGACACGTGCTGAAAAGAGAAAACAGGTCAGAGGTCAGAGAGGTCAGAGGTGAACTGGACACAGACACTACAGCCTGGACTGTGTAACGCTGCAGCGCCCCCTACACACGAACCAAACAATGAGGGGAGACCAAGTCACTCTCACCCACAGCCTACAGAAACAGGAGCCACAGGCTCACGCACTGCCGACAACGTCCACCAGGGGACAGCGTGGGGACACGTCCCAGCTCAGCAGGGAATATAGTTAATGCAGAGACCTTTGTCACGGAGACATCCAACCACATCCAACCACATCCAACCACAACAGGCCTCCAGCTGTGGAGCAGCGATTGTGTCTTTATGTAAACGTCAGGTCAGCGTATGATCCACTGAACCACCGTACCAGTTTGTAGAGCTCCGACACACTGATCTGGTCTGGATCCACCATCTCAAACTCCTTTCTGGGAACCAGGTCCAAACCCAGGTGCCTGAGACAGAGAGGAGGGAGAGGAGACGGGGGGG